ATGTTGATGTCAGCCTGTTCTCAAAATAACTTTTCTTCTGAATCTAGACTGTTCAAATTAATTTAATATTATTAGAATATTTTCAGAATGTTCTTAGCTATTCTCACCTGTTCTCCAGATGAACCTTATAATTATATTGCCAAGTGCCAAAAAACATAGTCCCATCAGAATATTGATTGAATTTTTTAAATATGAAAAAACTAATTTGGGAAGAATTAACAATTTTACAGTATTCAATCTTGTTACTACACACGTGTAATATGTCTCTGTTTTTAAAGCTTACATGTATAAGTAGTGGATGTATTTGGCTATTTTCCTCCCAAATTATGTTAATTTTCTGCTTTTTATATCTATATTTTTCTTTATATTTTATTATTTATATTTTTATTTTAAATTTTGTATTGGTGCATTATAATTATACATAATTATGGGATTCGTTATGCCATATTTGGACATGTTCATAATTAGTGCATCTCATTCCCCAGTACCTTCCCTTTGCCTCTTCTCCTTCCTGGTGGTTCACTTGCTCTACTCTATACTATTATTTTCATTTTAATTAGTGTGTTATAATTATATACATAAGCTTCTTTTTTAAAATATGATATCTGCTGTTACCTCTGCCATTTTATTCCATTTTCCTAAGACTTGCTCTAATCTATTCTTCCTCCCGCCCCCTAAAATAAGAACATGGTTTAAGTTTAAGAGTTTGCCTCTTAATAGAGCATTGGCTGCCCCCCATTGGACTTTGAATGAGGTGATTTGGTTTTTTTTTTCCCCCTTGTAGTTGTAATAGTCCATTTGATTCAAAAGCGGATTAAGATTCCTTTGTTTTATTTTAACTGACTGGATGTTTAGCTTTATTCCTTTGAGAATTTTGTTATTTGGGGGATAGAAAATTATTATTATTATAATTATTATTCAAGAAATAATAATTATAATAATGCCAATAGATAACAAGCATTGAGCCTTGATAAGCTCTGCAAATACTCCTTTCCTCTGTACGAAACCCATAAAAGTCAGCTATTCTTAAATATTCACATTTACAGATTAAGAAACCAAGGTTCTGTTAGGGAGCCAGAATGTCTCGTTCTGCATTCTTTTTCAAAAGTGCATGTAGTGATCTCAACTCATCTGAACACGTGGAGGTCATCGCTGGGCCTGGTATTTATGATCAGCTTTGGTAAAACTCCACAGAAGCTTGAAAAGAGCTCTGTTTACAGTGACTGACTTTGAAGTCGACCTATTCTTAGCATTCTTTGCCCTTATCTGCACTGCCTACTCCAACACAGAGAGCTTTCTTAATATCGCAGGGAGTGCGCTTCTATCACCTTCTACTGCGGGTGCCTGGAGCAACCCTCTCCTCACTACCTCCACTGTCATCTACTGCCGCTGCTTCTCTCCTGGTTTGATTCTGTTTCATAGCAGAGGCTGGCCTTCCTACATACTGCCAGCACGTGGTTGTAGTAAAATTCTGCATTGCTCACAGAGCTGGAGAAATTAGGTCTTTCTCTCTCCCTCAGTTCTCTTTCTGTTTCATCCAGTCTTGGTGGCGGGGGAAGATGAGGAGTAAAGTTGCCTTAATCTCTTTCCAGCTGGGTACTGGTCAGACTTCCTCTTCAGCTCTGTGGGTGGCTTGTAAGTCAGTGTGTGAAGCTCCTCCCCTGATGCCTTGTTCAATCAGGCGCCTGTATTCAATCTTTCTAGACTGAGAGAAGGCCTTTGCTCTCACCTCCCCTGGCTTTCTGAGATGGTGGCTCGAGTGGCCAGTAAAAGACCAACCGCACTGGCACAGCGATAGAACTGTGGATCCAGGTACCCAAAATTCTATGAGAATTTTTAAATCCTGTACTTCTGTTTTTGTAATAATCTAAAAAATATTATTATAGAGGTTAATCTCATCTCAGTGATAATCTTCAGTTGAAGGATGTTTGCATAGAATCAGATGTCATCCTTTATAAGTCACTGTCTTAAAAATATTATTTAACTTGCAAAATTGGATTATTACAATACTGTGTTACTGTTACATTTTCTGATTTTCATGTTTATTGTTGTTATATAAGAAAGTTCTGTTCTTAGGATTTAGATACTGGAATGTTTATGCATATGAATAAAGCCTTGATATCTGCAAATTACATTCAAATAGTTCACTGAACAAGTGTGTGTCTATGTACCCAGGTGTAGGTAGATAGTTGAGCAAATGGGATAAAATGTCAACAACTGTGTTAACAATTGGGGAATGGGGTGAAGGTTACACGGGTGTTCTTTGAATTTATTGCAACTTTTTTGAAAGTCTAAAATTGTATCAAAATAAAAAGGTTATATAAATGTCATGATTTTGATAGTGCACAAAGCATTCTCAAAATGTGAAAAAGGTTTTTTATTTTTTTCATTTAAAAGTTGAGAAAAATATCAATAACTCTTCTACTGTGCCATCAGATTAGTCACCAGATGGACCTATTTTCCTTTTCCACTTGGAATTTTCCATTGGCTCCTAAACACTGCGTTCAAAGTGCCTAGCCTGGCCTGCAAGTTGCTCTGTGACATAGCCTTTGGTCAGTTCCAGCTTCAGCTACTCCTTCCCTTTCATTGTACAACACCAACTGCTTGTGGCTTCCTATGAGCACCTTATTGCTTTATTCTCCTGTGGCTTTGGCTGGTTTAGTCCAAAATGCAAACTCCCAGATTTCCCTTCTTCATACACCCTTCTCTCTCTGAGTAACTGTTAACCATTTGTTAAAACCCAAATTAGGTCCTCCCTTCAGGAAGCCTTCCTGAATCCTCACAGGCTAAGTGTGTCCCCTCTGGGCTCTGGTAGCTCCCTCTGATCCCCTACATCATGACCTCTTAGTGATGTCTGTGTCTCCTTTGGACTGTCAGCTCCAAGAAGGCAGAGAAGTTGCCCTTGCTCTGTGTCCTGCACACCTAGCATGGTGACCAGGAACAGAGATGACATATGTTATCTGGGGAGCAGAGAAACCTAGCATATGGTTCTGTTCGTGGGGTCCTGTGAGGTGTGCAGGCAGAGAACATGGCAGGGGTGAGTTAAAAAGCTTCAGAAGAATGTCTCCCTCATATATCTCCCAAGCCCCTTTGCCATAAGTTTGAAAATTTTACATTAATGTCCTTTGTTTAAAGTGCTGCTTCTAGAAGGAGAAAGTTTAATGGCATCATGGTTTCTGGTGTGGTTACCTACTAACATATATTATTATAATGACACAGATTATTATCACTAATGAGTGTCCTGCTTGTAGAGTTCTTTATGTTTTCTAATTGATAACATTTTTTGAGAGTCTCAACAGCCTTTACAGGTGTCTAAATCTTTACATATTTTTTCCAGCCCAGCAAAGTTGCTGAATATAATAAATTGCCAATAAAATGATATTGATTAAATAATGAACAAGTATTATACTCCTGATATCATTAAATGCTCACATCCAAAACCTAAAGCCAAGAGAGACCCTGGCTGTAAGTCTCCTTACAGTTGATGTCAACTACTAAAGGGTAGGCTGGGTAGAGTCTAAACAGGAACTCCCTCTAGCTGATGTGCTGATCCCATAGATGTTTGGGGTCACTCACAATTTGGGGCTGGTAAGCATAAACTTTTTGAAGAAAGAGGACAAAGATGGATTTACCTGAGCCCCAAATAGGTGACTACCTCTTCTTAGTCCCACCGATTCAGCAAGGGGTTAATGGAAGCTTTCAAGCAGGCTAGATAATTAACGGGATTAAATCTCTACCTGTCAATTAAGCCAATATATTTGAGCATAATACTATTTAATTCTGTACCAGTAACAGTGCAATAAATCAAAGTTTACAGATGTCTTCAGCAAGCCCTTGATGGATGAAACACTGTAACTCAGAGGTGCATAGAAAATCTCAAATAAGATAACCTCCCATGTGATTAATATAGCTGTCTGCATTAGCATTGGCTCCAGAAGGTTCCAATCCAAACATGTTTAACATCACATACTTTATTGTGACAGATTTAGACACCTGAACTAACTAACCAGGCAAATGGTGTTTAATTATAGTGACTCATTATGGACCTCAGCAATAAAGCAGGGACACAGAATCATATGTTAATTCCTATCACACACACATGTCATCAGCAGTCCAGCATCCAGAGGGTCTTAGAGGGCCTGGTGCACAAAACCCAGAACAGCACTGATTCCTGTAGGGACGGCCTTCTTTCTGTCTGTTCAGTTGTGCTTGTCCCCAAGTCTAGTTGAAACTGATTAGCCACAATGAATGTCTTTATTGACATTTTCTCATTAAAAAAAAAAAAGAATTGAGAGTTAAGTCTTTATTTTCGTAGATGAAGAACAGTACCTCCATAAGAACATATGGATGGCTGGGACTCTGTGGTTGAAGAATCTAAACAAAATATTTGTCAACCTCCTGCATGTATTCTGGAATGCAATTCCAAAAACATGGCCTTCTAAGCAGATATACAAATGTGCATTTTTAGAAGTGGGCTAGAAATGTTCAGATTTAAAAAAAAAAATTCAACTCCTAGTCTTGAATTTACTCATGGGAGATTTTTCTTAGTGTCATCTGAGTGTCAGGAGGTGCACAGCTAGTGAAAACTTTACCAGCAGGATCAAGGGATTTGACTTCATCTGTGCTTGAAGTCACCAAGTGTGACAGTGAAGAGTGGGACTTTGTGATTGACTAATAAATCAAAAAGGAGTGCTAAAGACTGTAGTAACAATGGTCTGGGAAAGAAACGAGTTGTAATCCATACTCTACTCTCAAGCCACGTCCCTTGTATTTGGGGAGAGCAGCTAACACATGCTAAGGATCACAGTTGTGCTACTATCTATACCAGATACAAGAATTCAAGGAGGAGAGAAGCCAGCACTGGGGCAGTTAGAAATCCTCGATGGAGAATGTGCATTAGCTAAATGTTTAAGAAAGGGAAGGGTTTGGTCAGGCAGAGAAGATGGACCAGCACCTTTGAAATGGGAGAGACAACAGGAATGAATGTGTGAGGGAGGGAGAATGGAGAGCAATTTGAAGGGTGTGGGTTGCTTACCTGTAATAGATCAGATCAGCAGCGTGATAAAACCCCATCTAGAAAAAGAGCCAGAACCTAAAACCAAAAGCAAGAGAAAGGCATTTAACATAAATAGGTTGCACATGCTACACAAGAAGTGAGTTTTAAGAATCCTGGTCTAGAAGTGGACAGAGTGGTCTTCACAAAGACATGGGAGCCAGAGCAGGTAGACAGGACATGACCATAAGACCAAGGAATAAATGCATGAGCATTCTGACTATGGAACGTGGAAGTGGAGATGAAATCTGAGAGATATTCCCCAACATTCTCTCCACCCAAACACTCACCTTACTCCTGGACTGGTGGCTCCAAACCAGTCACGACCATAATATCTTTCTCTCCAGCAATCACTTTGGAATTGGGCATGAGACCCCTTCTGGCTAATGACAAGTGGCTTCTGGGAAAGAATTCTTTTCTTTATGTGGGAAACACAAGATGAGAAGGTCTCACTTCTTCCTCTGGACATTGTCCCATCCCAAAGGGATGTCTGGGACTGTACAACATGTCATTCTCAGCCTTGAAAATAATCTTGAGATGAGCCAACCCCAACCCCAAGAAGCCCCTAGATCTTTCAACAATGCAAGATCTTACATGTTCTTATTATTTATACTTTGGATAGTGGAGTTTGATACTTGCAGCCAAAATAAGTGGTCCACAATCCTATTTTCTTGAGTTGAGGTTAGAAGATCTTGGTAATATGCTGCAGAATGAGAAGACAGGAGAAACAGGAGTTGGGGGGCTGATTCAGAAATTATAGCATGCTTTAAGTTATGACATGTAGCTTTTAAAGGCTTATTTCATGATTCTATTGCTAAACAAACAAAAAAATTGTTTATTTATTTATTTTGGTACTGGGGATTGAACCCAGGGGCACTTTACCACTGAGCTACATCACCACTCCATTTTATCTTTTATTTTGATACAGGGTCTCACTAAGTTGCTGAGGCTGCCCTTAAATTTGTGTTCCTCCTGCCTCATCCTCCTAAGATTCTGGGATGACAGGCAGGTGTCCCAGTGCCCGACAAAGCCCACTTTAAAAGTTATGGCACACAAACTGAAGTTCTTTGTTCCTCAGATTTGCTAAAATTGGTATTTTCTTTTATTTACATCAACAAAGATGGCACTAACTCAAGTGGGAATTAGTGTCTTTCTCTTACCTGTCTGAAGAGTTGTAAGTGATACCAATAGAGATTTTGGTTATTCTTTTAGAATGGTGTGAGATGGTGGCTGAGCTTTTAACTCTTAGTATTTACAGGTGACTCTGGCTCATTTGAGAGCTGAGTGGCCAGCTGAATGTATAGCCAGGATAATCCAGATGTGCCATAATAACAACACAAATATCCCAAGGGATCAGCAATAAGAATTTACTTCTCACTCACCAAAGTGGAATTCGAATGCTCCAACAGCTGTCCTCCCTGAGGACAGATACTTCTCTGTCTCTCTCAACGCCGGCTTCTCTGATCACCATGACAAGAACAGAAAGGGTTGAAGGTTCTCAGCCCAACAAATAGATATTCAGTCCTAATATGGCCCCCCACCCCACAGCTCATTGGCTGGAACCAATCACGTGATCTGCCTAACTGCAAGAAGATCAGGCCTTGCGTCCTCCCTAGCTCAGATATGTGCAGAAATGCCCAAGATGGGGCAGGTAGGGAGATTTCTCTGCCCTCTTCATTTCTGCCTCCCAATGTCTCTCTGATGCATATACCAACATGTGAGCCCCCACCTGATTTTCAGTGGTAACATTCTGAAGGGTATTACCAGGTCCTGAAGGTTTAACTCTATAAAGAGAGCTATGAGATCTTTAATAAAATGAATATGGATTGAGAATTAGAATCCATCAATAATGACTCTTGTCTTGGTAGACTTTCACAGGGCTGCTTTTCACTTACTAAGTAGCCTAGTTTGGAAAATTATCCATCCTGATCTTGCCTTCCCTGTGACTCCTAATCCCCTGAGCTCAATACCTTGCAAGGAAACCGTTAAGATAGAATGGAACTGGATATAGCTCAAGTGGGTGAGGTATTGACAATAGCACACAAGGAAATCAAATATACCAGACTTCAATAAGAGGGATAAGTGAGGTTTTTCTAGGGAAGATTCTAGATAGTCAGGTGCTACTTCAGATCCTCTTTTTGACAAACTGTGGAGTGCTTTGACTTGTTTTGTGAATTGATGTTGGTACATTTCTCCTAAACTTCTCAAAATTTATTTGCTTTTTTTGAGCAGAGATCTGTTAGCAAAAGTTACCTCCAGTCCAGTGGGCTTCACACAAATAGAAGAGCTGCTTTTATAAGCAAACTGACCAAAATCAAGCCTGAGAAAGATCCCTTGAAATATCAGTTAGATTCAGCTGCGGGTGTAGCTCAGTACCAGAGTGTTTGCCTAGCATGCATGCATGCATAAAGCCCTGGGTTTGATCCCCAGCACCACCACCCCAAAATCATTTAGATTCAATACTTAACAACATCACATTTTACCAAAAGCTTTTAGTTTCCCTGGAAATCCATCTTTCAGATTGTTAGTAAAAATGTAAATTGACATACCCGTGCTTTCACAGAGATTTGGGGGATTTCTCTGTATAATCTCCCCTCCGAGAGTCTAAGGATTAAAGTGTTGCTCAGATATGTGCATAAATGGCCAAGATGGGGTTGGTAGGGAGATTCCTCTGCCCTCCTCATTTCCACCTCTAATCTCTTTTGCTCCTCCTCTCCAAGGTTTGTTTGATCAGAATATGGGACACTCCTAGAGCTACATATGAGCAGTGGTGGGGATACCTGCACCTAGAGCCAGTACTCTAGGTTCTACATTCCTTCCTCCTTATTCTCAGTGATCTTAAGTAGCCATCAATAAAGTGAAAACTTCTCATACTACAAGCTGCTAGATTTCCCACCACCTTTACAGAATAGCAGGTAGAAAACTCCTGAAACAAACCCTAAATGGCAGCCATTCTATATTTAAGTCAATCTGCTGGATGTGTGGCAAGGTTGTAATGTGTAACCTGCTGCTTGATAGATATTCCCCTAACATTTTTTGAACAAATAGCTGAGTAGGATAGTTTAAATTTGCATCTGATAACTTTTTTTTCTCTCTCTCTTAATCAAACAGGCCTGATTTGGGATCCCCGGAGCAGTTCCAACTTGCTCTGTGGCCTGGGGAAATTATTTAGCTTCTCTGAGATTAGTTTTCTCATTAAATGGAGAAGATGATGATGAAATAATAATATTGCACAGTTTTGTTAGGAGGACTTAATGAGATAAACCACAGCTGTCCCTCTTTATCCAAGATTTTACTTTCTATAGTTTTAGGTGCCCAAAGCCAGAAAAGATCCAAAAATATTAAATGGAAAAATCCAGAAATAAATAATTCATATAAACTTTGTATCATTCTGAGTAGCTTGACAAAATCTCACACATCCTACTCTGTCCTGCTCAGGACATGAATCATTCTGTCCAGCATATCCACACTTTATATATGCTGTCCACCCAATAGTCACTTAGTAGTTTCTTCAGTTATCTTATCAAATGTCACAGTATCGCAATACTGATGTTTAAGTGATCCTTGCATAGCAGCATCGTGTTACCCCTATGTCACTCACCTCATTCATCTTATCATTTTTTCATTTTATCATCTCACATGACCACAAGAAAAAGGGTGAGAATAGTATAGTAAAATATTCTGAGTGATAGATCACACCCACTTAACTTTTGTTATAGCATGATGTTATACTTATTCTAGCTTATAATTAGGTATTGTTTTTATTTGTTACTTTGTCCAATTTATAAATTAAATTTTATCATAGATATGTATACATAGTATCTATACATAGGAAAACAGAGTAAATATAGGATTAAGTACCATCCACAATCCCAGGCATTCACCAGGAGTCTTGGGACATATTCCCTATGGGTAAGCAAGGACTACTAGATACAAAAGATCCTGATAATAATAATACAATGACAGGGCTGAGGTTGTGGCTCAAGTGGTAGAGTGCTTACCTAGCCATGTGGTGCACTGGGTTGGATCCTCAGCACCACATAAAAATAAAATAAAGATATTATGTCCACCTAAAACTAAATAATAAATATTAAAAAAATACTGACAATATTGTTAATAAACTTTCATATATCTTCTCATTCTCTGCATTATTAATGCAATATGATTGGAGTGCTTTTGGGTTACTTGTTTCCAAGTTCCTAATAACAGCAGGGCACTCAGGTCATATGATGATCCTGACTTTCTCCAAGCTCTTTACTAGAATTTCAGTTCTGCCATCAGTCATCTGGTCAACCAGCTCCCATCTCTTAGCTCTATTGTCCAGTTTTCATTTGACAAATGAATTCCAGGAACAGGATCATTCTTGATTATTCCTTTTTCATTATTATTTGGGAGCTGGCAATACATTGGGTCAGATATTGAAATAAATAATAAAAAGTCATACATTGAACAGGCTCACTCTTATCCCTGAACTTGACCACCCCATTGGTCAGCTTCCAGCTCTCACTGATAATCATTTTTATTATAATCTTACATGGTTGGGGTTTTTTCCATTTCATAGGCAAAACTAAGCACAGTTTACTTAGTGCTTTACACATTGCTGTTATCACCTAGTGAAAAATATCCTCAGGCTCTTCATATATTAGAACATACTGAGTCTAGATTTGTGTTGCTGTTACGGCTACATGGGATTCCACAGGGTGGATATATTTACTTGGCCAATACTTTATTGTAAACATTTATACTTTTCACATCTTCCATTATTACAAACAAAACTAATAAATAATTTCATACTCAAGTATTTCATGTATATTCAGATAATCAGAAGAATAAGTTCTCAGAAGTGGTTTTGCTGACCCAAAGGACAAATACACTCATTTTTGATAGATATTGCCAACTTGGTTCTTATATTAATTCCACCATTTTATATTCCCAATAGCAATGTCTAAGAGGATTAAACAACACATTTAAAGCAATTGAACAAATGACAGATAAAGATTAATAATGAGATTAAGAACCATAGATAGGTTATAGGTTAAAATTATTTATTAGAAATGGAAAAGTTCTGTGTTGGTTGTAGTGAAAGTAAGGATCTGAGATTTACAGCTCAAGCAGCACTGATCCCACCTTCTCTAAAAATAATGGCAACTTACTCTGCTTAGCACATCTCATCCTACCAAACCCTTTGTTCACTAGCTCAATTAAGCTTCACAAGATCACATGAAGAATGTGAAAAAACTTCAATCACTTTTCCTACTCACAGAAAGGTCAAGAGAGATATCTTTGGTGAAACAGCTAGACTCCGTGAAGCACTGGGACTCGAGCCTCAATCTGCTGACTCCAGATCTGGGGCTGTTTGTTGGAAGAGAACCTGGTTGGAAGCCAAATGTTCCTACGACCTCTCATCTCTTTGCCCTCCCCTGCCACCCTCAAGCTTCTTCTCACCCATCTACTCCCTCCTGGTCATTCCCACTTTTCATGTCATTTTTTAAAAATCTCCAACTCCCTTAAGGGTAGTGAGATGGCATTTTGATGCCCAGGTGCCGACTCTTCAGCCCACCTGATTTCAGCCACACCCACACTGGACAGTTCCATACACACTGACTCCTCAGTTCCCACCTCAAGCATCCACCACATCTCTTCACATTTTCTGCTTTGGGGCATCTTCTAAAGCCAAAGGATCTCACTCAAGCTGGAAGTGCT